CGGGTGGTAAGGGTCGAATAGGTCTTCAGCAACCCATGCTTGCCGTAAAAGGCGACTAACGGGATCGGGTGATCAGGCTCGCTGACATGGTTGATGCATGTCATCGATCCCAATTACGTGGATCGATGCTCATGATGCCAATCACTGGATTGTCTGGTATAGACTCGATTATTTACAGACCGCCGTCATATAGCTGTAATATTGCTGAGTGCGGCGTTAAACAACAAACCAACCAACCAAGCTGACTTGGTTGATGCATGTCATCGATCCCAATTGCGTGGATCGATGCTCATGTTGTCAATCACTGGATTGTCTCGTCCAGATTCGATTATTTACAGACCGCCGTCATATAGCTGGAATATTGCTGAGTGAGGCCGGCGTTAAATAACAAACCAACCAACCTCGGAAAATCCTTATCTAAACTTATTGGGGACGCCCGTCCCTTGTTTGATGAGGAATTTACATTGAATCACATTGGCATTTTTATCATTGCATTGTGATAGCAAGTTTACCGGTTGAGTTGTCAGATGGATAACACTATCCATTGTAGACTATCTGTTCAAGGTAAGAATAGGTCCCAAGCTTGTTTGTCGTAAGAGATGACTAATATGATCATCGGGTGGTCCAACTCTGTGATGTGATTACAGTAAAGTACGGTTATAACGAACTAAAAGGGACTACTAATTTTAGTTCGTTATAACCGTAGTTCGTTATAAGCATATATACAATATAACAACAGCATATAGTCGGGACCAAAAATGTCAGTTCGTTATATCCGTCAGTTCGTTATAAGCGTGTTCGTTATAACCGTAGTTTACTGTATGTATTAACGTAAGTCAGGTAGTTACAGCGTCAGCTCGTCACGCCGAAGACCCGGGTCCGATTTCCAACGTGGGCATTATGTTTGAAGCCCATTTCTGGTATCCCCCGCCGTGATATTGCTGGAATATTGCTTCGAGCGGCGTAAAAGCATACTCACTCACCTCACTGTTCCATGGGGAAGACGCAATTATGTATACGCCGTGTTTTTTGCTCGAGCTAACTGAAGCGTAAAACAACACATTTAGCCCGTGTTAGAATTGGTCCTCAGCAACCTATGCTGGTCTTAACATTTGGTTGGTTGGTTGGTTTGTTGTTTAACGCCGCACTCAGCAATAGTCCAGCTATTTGACAAGGGTCAGTAAATCGAGTCTGGTCCAGACAATCCAGTGATTATTATCATGAGCATCGATCCACCCAATTGGGATCGATGGCATGCATCAACCAAATCAGGGATCCTGACCACCCGATTCCGCTAGTCGCCTCTTACGACAAGCATAGTCGCCTTTTACGGCAAGCATGGGTTGCTGAAGATCTATTCTATCCCGGATCTTCACGGGTCGTTGGTCGTAAGAGGCGACCAAATGGATCGGGTATTCAGGCTCGGTGGCATTGTTCACAGCGGGTCATCGTTCTTCGACGGCGTGGATCCTTGCGCAATATCAATCACTGGATTGTCTATTCTAAATTCGAGTATATACACCGCCGTCATAGAGCAGGAATATGTCTGGAACAACAGACGAACAACGTAAAACAACAAACAACTAAACCCAGAAGACCCAAACGCCGATCCACATCCAATATAAAATCAACTGCCAGGCAAAAGAAAGTATAATCATGAAAATTGGATTCGACCAATAAATTTCAAACGTTATCAACGCGTTACTAGGCCGAAAACGCTCGGGGAAACACTGCAAACTTAATATCTATATTACAGCCAAAATAAATATTAAATGCATTACCATCGAATAACCATGTCTTGTTTGTTTAATTTTTAGTCATAAAAAATGAAATATGCAATCTCTTTCCCGCAGTTTATATTGCCACTTATAAAAAGCGAATATGAAATCATGAACGCTGATCATTGTGTTATATTGTTCTTGTTAATATTCAATGTCTCTGCGTTTGAAACTCAAATTCACCAGACCAGAATTATACAGCGCTTGTTACAGCATCACACATGAATATTCATAATTTGTTCCAGTGCTTGGCTGAAGCAGTACTGTGCTGCTGACAGGCTAATAGGACGGTTCACTCATCAAACGATACGAAACCGAGGCCAGTTCACGTGCAGCATCCCATGTGACCGTGACGTCATATGCACACCGAATGTCGGCCATATGTTCGAGCATTCGATAACTCCGCCGAGAGTGGTCGAGTTTCTTTGAAACGAATCTTCATGTTCGTAGCGGAAACCAACTGACAGGGGACAATTGATGTTATCAAAGGTCGTTTCCGCTTGGAATGCTCTATTATCATTACAGGGGTGCTTCGGCCTTGTTGCAGCTATATCAAAGAATAGGGGCACTCTTGAATGCAAGTCCCTGTGGGGCAGGGCACCGAAGGTGGACACAGTCATACATTTTAATGACGTGGTGATTAACCGATGCTCGTAAATCTAATGACATCAATTAGATGGCTAAAGGAGAAGATATGACCACCCTACAAAGTAGGAGACACACAAAAAAACACGAAATCGTATATAAAAACGAACGGGGAGTAAATGTAGTATTTATACAAATAGGTGTATGTAACATTTTACGTGGGTTGAAGAGAATGAAATTTAAATTACATCATGTTGGTTGGTTGGTCGGTTTGTTGTTTTACGCCGCACTCAGCAATATTCCAGCTGTATGACGGCGGTCTGTAAATAATCGAATCTGGACCAGACAATCCAGTGATTAATATCATGAGCCTCGATCCACCCAATTGTGATCGATGACATGCATCAAACCAAGTCAGCGAGCCTGACCACCCGATCCCGTAAGTCGCCTTTTACGACAAGCATAGTCGCCTTTTACGTCAAGCATGGGTTGCTGACGACCTATTCTACCCCGGAATCTTCACAGGTCCCCAAGTACTCAGAACAGGCGACTGTATTGTCTCGGGGAACTGACTGATTTATGTGCACAGTCGAAGACCTAATCAAAATCATGTGTGGACTGTAGATGTGTTTACTGTATACGAAGTCTTGGTGGCCCAGTCGTTCCTTAGACGTGGCAGACTAGTATGATCGTGGGTTCAAATCCAATAGTTGCTATGATTATGTTTCTTGGGTTGTCAGCACCAAATCCGTGCTTGTGGGTCGCACCAAAGTGCGAGACAGGGGACCGCTGTCTACTGGCTCCACGGTACGAGAGATACTGCGAGACAGTGTGGCCGCTGTCTACTGGCTCCACGATACGAGAGATACTGCGAGACAGTGTGGCCGCTGTCTACTGGCTCCACGATACGAGAGATACTGCGAGACAGTGTGGCCGCTGTCTACTGGCTCCACGATACGAGAGATACTGCGAGACAGTGTGGCCGCTGTCTACTGGTTCCACGATACGAGAGATACTGCGAGACAGTGTGGCCGCTGTCTACTGGCTCCACGATACGAGAGATACTGCGAGACAGTGTGGCCGCTGTCTACTGGCTCCACGATACGAGAGATACTTCGAGACAGTGTGGCCGCTGTCTACTGGCTGCACGATACGAGAGATACTGCGAGACAGTGTGGCTGCTGTCTACTGGCTCCACGGTACGAGAGATACTGCGAGACAGTGTGGCCGCTGTCTACTGGCTCCACGATACGAGAGATACTGCGAGACAGTGTGGCCGCTGTCTACTGGCTCCACGATACGAGAGATACTGCGAGACAGTGTGGCCGCTGTCTACTGGCTCCACGATACGAGAGATACTGCGAGACAGTGTGGCCGCTGTCTACTGGCTCCACGATACGAGAGATACTGCGAGACAGTGTGGCCGCTGTCTACTGGTTCCACGATACGAGAGATACTGCGAGACAGTGTGGCCGCTGTCTACTGGCTCCACGATACGAGAGATACTGCGAGACAGTGTGGCCGCTGTCTACTGGCTCCACGATACGAGAGATACTGCGAGACAGTGTGGCCGCTGTCTACTGGTTCCACGATACGAGAGATACTGCGAGACAGTGTGGCCGCTGTCTACTGACTCCACGATACGAGAGATACTTCGAGACAGTGTGGCCGCTGTCTACTGGCTCCACGATACGAGAGATACTGCGAGACAGTGTGGCCCCTGTCTACTGGCTCCACGATACGAGAGATACTGCGAGCGAGACAGGGGACCGCTGTCTCCTGGCTCCACGATACGAGAGACAGTGTGGCTGCTATCATGTGGCTCGATGGAACGACTTCAGCTTACACGTCTCAATATAACTGAAAACCCTATTTAAAGCCCCTACCTCCATCTCGCACCATCCCTTATCCCACCTCCATCCCACACTATCCCTCATCCCGCCTCCTACCTCCATCCCTCATCCCGCCCCTACCTCCATCTCGCACCATCCCTTATCCATCCTCCTACCTCCATCCCGCACCATCCCTCATGCAGTTTCCTACCTCCATCCCTCATGCAGCCTCCTACCTCTATCCCGCCTACTACCTCCATCCTGCACCATGCCTCATGCAGCCTCCTACCTCTATCCTGCACTATCCCTCCTCCTGACTCCAACCTCCATCTCGCACATCCCTCATCCCACCTCCTACCTCCATCCAACTTTCTACCTCTATCCCGCCTCCTACCTCCATCCTGCACCATGCCTCATGCAGCCTCCTACCTCTATCCTGCACCATCCCTCCTCCTGACTCCTACCTCATTCCCTCCTACCGCCTCCAACCTCCATCCCTCATCCCACCTCCAACCTCCATCCCTCATCCCACCTCTATCCCGCCTGCTACCTCCACCATGCAGCCTCCTACCTCTATCCTGCACCATCCCTCCTCCTGACTCCTACCTCCATCCCTCCTACCGCCTCCAACCTCCATCCCTCATCCCACCTCTATCCCGCCTCCTACCTCCATCCTGCACCATGCAGCCTCCTACCTCTATCCTGCACCATCCCTCCTCCTGACTCCTACCTCCATCCCTCCTACCGCCTCCAACCTCCATCCCTCATCCCACCTCTATCCCGCCTCCTACCTCCATCCTGCACCATGCCTCATGCAGCCTCCTACCTCTATCCTGCACCATCCCTCCTACCGCCTCCAACCTCCATCCCTCATCCCACCTCCAACCTCCATCCCTCATCCCACCTCTATCACGCCTCCTACCTCCATTCTGCACCATGCAGCCTCCTACCTCTATCCTGCACCATCCCTCCTCCTGACTCCTACATCCATCCCTCCTACCGCCTCCAACCTCCATCCCTCATCCCACCTCTATCCCGCCTCCTACCTCCATCCTGCACCATACCTCATGCAGCCTCCTACCTCTATCCTGCACCATCCCTCCTACCGCCTCCAACCTCCATCCCTCATCCCACCTCTATCCCGCCTCCTACCTCCATCCTGCACCATGCAGCCTCCTACCTCTATCCTGCACCATCCCTCCTCCTGACTCCTACCTCCATCCCTCCTACCGCCTCCAACCTCCATCCCTCATCCCACCTCCAACCTCCATCCCTCATCCCACCTCTATCCCGCCTCCTACCTCCATCCTGCACCATGCCTCATGCAGCCTCCTACCTCTATCCTGCACCATCCCTCCTCCTACCTCCATCCCGCACCATCCCTCCTACCGCCTCCAACCTCCATCTCGCACCATCCCTCATCCCACCCACATCCCTCATCCCACCTCCATCCCTCATCCTACCTCCATCCCACCTCCTACCTCCATCCCTCATCCAACCTCCATCCTGCACCATGCCTCCTACCTCCATCCCGCACCATGCCTCCTACCTCAATCCTGCACCATCCCTCCTCCTACCTTCATCCCTCCTCCTGACTCCTACCTCCATCCGCCTCCTACCTCCATCCCTCCTACCTCCATCCCGCACCATCCTTCCTCCTGACTCCTACCTCCATCCCTCCTCCTGACTCCTACCTCCATCCCGCACCATCCCTCCTCCTGACTCCTACCTCCATCCCGCACCATCCCTCCTCCTGACTCCTACCTCCATCCCGCACCATCCCTCCTCCTACCCGCACCATCCCGCACCATCTCCCCTACCGCCTCCTACCTCCATCCCGCACCATCCCCCCTACCGCCTCCTACCTCCATCCCGCACCATCCCTCCTCCAGACTCCTACCTCCATCCCGCACCATCCCCCCTACCGCCTCCTACCTCCATCCCGCACCATCCCTCCACCTACCTCCATCCCGCACCATCCCTCCTCCTGACTCCTACCTCCATCCCGCACCATCCCGCACCATCTCCCCTACCGCCTCCTACCTCCATCCCGCACCATCCCCCCTACCGCCTCCTACCTCCATTCCGCACCATCCCTCCTCCTGACTCCTAACTCCATCCCGCACCATCCCTCCTCCTACCCGCACCATCCCGCACCATCTCCCCTACCGCCTCCTACCTCCATCCCGCACCATCCCCCCTACCGCCTCCTACCTCCATCCCGCACCATCCCTCCTCCAGACTTCTACCTCAATCCCGCCTCCTGACTCCTACCTCCATCCCGCACCATCCCTCCTCCTGACTCCTACCTCCATCCCGCACCATCCCTCCTCCTTCCCGCACCATCCCTCCTCCTGACTCCTACCTCCATCCCGCGCCATCCCCCCTACCGCCTCCTACCTCCATCCCTCTCCTGACTCCTACCTCCATCCCGCACCATCCCTCCTCCTGACTCCTACCTCCATCCCGCACCATCCCTCCTCCTACCTCCATCCCTCCTCCTGACTCCTACCGCCTCCTACCTCCATCCCGCACCATCCCTCCTACCTCCATCCCGCACCATCCCTCCTACCGCCTCCTACCTCCATCCCGCACCACCCCTCCTCCTACCTCCATCACTCCTCCCGACTCCTACCTCCATCCCGCACTATCCCTCCTCCCGCCTCCTCCCTCCATCCCGCACCATCCCTCCTACCTCCATCCCGCACCACCCCTCCTCCCTCCATCCCGCACCATCCCTCCTACCGCTTACTACCTCCATCCCGCACCACCCCTCCTCTCGACTCCGCACCATCCCTCCTACCTCCATCCCTCATATATATTGAATATCGTCCAACTGGAACAGCTATTTTGAATAATTCCAAATCAAATCAACTGCATTATTTGGAGGGTATTTTTTTTCCTGATAAATAATTAAAGACTCGACGAGATTTTGAATAATTACACTGACCATTTCCCAGACCATGAATACACGACAAATTGACGGGACGGGGAATCCCATGGTGACAATGTGGCAGAAATACTGGCAATCTGGCTGTAAACTTTAACTTATCCGATTAAAAGGTGAGGATCCTCCGTTTTGTGTCTCTTGTGATAAAAGAATCACAGTCAGGCATGTCCTGCTTTTTCCATCACAAGGGATAAATATTTCAGTGTCAAAACAATTAAGGACCCTTTTAATGATATTAGTTCTCATTTAATATTACTTTTTTAAAAAGAAATTGAACTTATTCATACATTTTTATGTATTTAGTGTATTATTTTAAAAATTGGTAGTGCTTATTTATAACTGAGATTGTTAGTGGCTGTACCCTTGAGGGGGGTTGAAGTAGCGTAAAATTATTGTCCCCCAAAGAGGGTATGTAAGTCCCACATCATTCGAAGTATTTTTATGCATGCCAGGTTTTAAAACGTAGTATATTCGTCATTTTAATCTTTGGCTTATCTGATACACTGTCGCCTGTAACTGAAGGGATGATATAAATCCTGCCAGGGTCCATGCAGGAAGCAAAGGCACTGTAAGTCCCCATGGTCCCTAGTATGGTGATCCCCCTTCAGTGACTGACGATCTCAAGCCCATTTTTATATTGTGTTGTTCATTAATACTTAATCCTTTTTAATATTCTCAACTAGTTTTAAAACAAATCTGTGATATTCTAGTTACTGTACTGTCCATCGTTGACAGCTTTTTATTTAGTCTAAATATATGTTTCATTAACGTATAACTTCTCCTCACGATATGGCTGAAATACTGCCGATGTGACGTTAAATTTTAACTCACTCAACCGAATCCTCACATTAGCAAAGAAGACGTTTAATATAGGTTTAAGACACCACTTCAACAGCAAAACAATATGCAACACCTTTTTCTTTTTCTATTTTTAATTGGTGTATTATTTATTTATAAATAACTGATTATAATTTTCTTTGACACATGTTCTTATATGCGAATGTTTACAATATGACGTTTAATCTTCCGAATGACTTTAAAACGTGTCGAAAATTATATTGAAAATATTTTTCTTTCAGATTTGACGTTAGTGCTGCTCCTGCCTTGACAATTACATGGTCGGCTGATAAAAAAACTTCGCGTTCTAGTTACTTCTTGTTCAATTATTTTTGTGTTTCTAAAATAATTTTGTGTTCACTTACACATTTTTACCAATTGTCAGTTGTCAAAACGCGACACTCGAAAATAATTTTGGGTTCACAAAAGTAATATTTACCAATGTCAATCGTCAAAACGCTACACTCGAATATAATTTTATGCTCACAAAAAAAAATATTTACGAAAATTGTGTAAACGATTGCCCATGTTATAATTAAGCGTTTCTTCACATGTCTTCATGATGCGACATAACGAAATATCACACTGAGTTTTTTTAATATTGAGTTTGAGCTAGAACCCAAATTTAGGCTTATGAGAGAAATATATGGCCGTGCATATAGCCGATTATTCTTCCCGTCGAAGATTGCGGGGCACCAGTAAAATGTTGATTTTATGGTGGAGCCGACGAAGCACTGATTGTATTGTATTTTACCGCCGTGAAGATCTTCTGCAACCTTGTAAGTTCCACTTCATTCAAAGTATTTTCTATGCATGCCGGACTGTTACACATAGTAATTTTGTCATTTTAATCTTAGGCTTAACTGGTCAATTATCGCCAGTGACTGTAGGGTGATATAAATCCTACCGGGGTCCATGCAGGAAGCAAAGGTACTGTAAGTCCCCATGGTCCCTAGTATGGTGACTGACTGAGTGACTGACGATCTCAAGCCCATTTTTATATTGTGTTGTTCTCTAACATTAACTAACTTTCAATATTCTCAACTTGTTTTAAATCGAATCTGTGATATTCTAGTTTTTGTACTGTCCATCGTTGACAGCTTTTTTTATAAAGTCTAAATATACGTCTTATTAATGTACTTCTCGTCAAGATATGGCTGAAATAAATCTTAACTCACTCACTCACTCACGCAACCTTGTATGTCGTCTAACAGGGTTGGTTGTTCAGGCTCGCGGTTGGTTTGTTGGTTTGTTGTTTAACGCCGCACTCAGCAATATTCCAGCTATATGACGGCGGTCTGTAAGTAATCGAGTCTGGACCAGACAATCCAGTGATTGATATCATGAGCATCGATCTACGCAATTGGGATCGATGACATGCATCAACCAAGTCAGCGAGCCTGACCACCCGATCCCGTTAGTCGCCTTTTACGACAAGCATAGTCACCTTTTACGGCAAGCATAGGTTGCTGAAGAGCTATTCTACCCCGGAATCTTCACGGGTCGATTCCGATTTTACTGACGGGCCGCTGCAATATTGTTTCTGATTTGACGACTTATGTTTGCCGATGATTGGATTAATTTTGAACAAATTCTTTTCAAACACACACGCTAGAGTCCAAACATCGCACCGAAACGCTTTTACGTCCGCTTGCTCTGTTCAAGTACGTGCGTTCGATTATAAGTTTTAGTGGTCTGAGTCAACCACACTTCTGGCAACAAGGGATTACCAGATTCAACGTGAGTTCCCAGTTTTAAGCAAGGACTTTGACCTTGAAGATTTGGGGGTAGAATAGGTCTTCAGCAACCCATACTTGCCGTAAAAGGCGACTATGCTTGTCGTAAAAGGCGACTAACGGGATCGGGTGGTCAGGCTCGCTGACTTGGTGCATGTCATCGATCCCAATTGCGTAGATCGATGCTCGTGATGTCAATCACTGGATTATAGACTCGATTATTTACAGACCGCCGTAATATAACTGGAATATTGCTGAGTGCGGCGTAAAACAACAAACAAACAAGGATAACTTGTGGCAGTACCTGAAATAAAACTCATATATGGTTTTATACCAAATGGTTGCCAGGAGACGGCGAAACACAGCAAACTATAAGATTGGTTGGTTGGTTGGTTGTTTAACGCCGCACTCAGCAATATTCCAGCTATATGACGGCGGTCCGTAAATAATCGAGTCTGCACAAGACAATCCAGTGATTGACATCATGAGCACGCAATTTGGATTCAATGACATGCATCAAACAAGTCAGCGAGCATGACCATCTATCCTGTAAGTCGCCTCTTACGGCAAGCATGGGTTGCTGAAGACCTCATTCTAACCCGGATCTTTACGGGTCTTCAACGATAACGAACAAGCTTGATATATTTACCCATACTTAATTATAGTAACTCATTCGTAGACGTAACTATTGTCATCCTACACATGTCTCATTTTCTATATTTTCACATCTGGCTGAAATAAGATTCCATAGATACTGAGTAGATTATCAGCGTTAAATAATAAATGTCAAAGATCTATGACAAAGAAAGATCTAAGACAATTTTAATGAGACCTTACTTATCTGCTCGAATATATCAAATGTCCAGAGGCGTGTTAGTGAGCAGCAGATGTGACTATCTATTGTGAAGGACGAAGCGTAACAAGAAGATTATAGCAACCAGTCCTAGTGTCTACTGTCTGGTAGATCTTGCGCCCTTAAAGGGGCAAGTCGTCAATCATCGCAAATTTAATTCATGTCGTTAAGGCATCACGTTAGATGTATGCTCACCCACGGTGTTTCATTGATATCAAGTTAAAATGAATGACACAATAGCGGTTCCTGAAGGCTTATGCCAAGTTGGCGGACTCTGAAGGTTAAGTGCTTACAAGGCAGGGTACCGCCAT